TTTTTTTTTTTTTTTTTGGAGGCAGGGTCTCACTCAATCACCCAGGCTAGAGCACAGTGGTGCAAGCATGGCTCATTGCAGCCTCGATCTCCTAGGGTCAAGAGATTCTCCTGCCTCAGCCTCCTGAGTAGCTGGGACTACAGACATGTGTCACCACACTTGGCTAATGTTTAAAATTTTTTTGTAGAAACAGGATTCACCATTTGCCCAGGCACACCTCAAACTCCTGGGCTCAAGCGATCCTCCCACCTCCGCTTCCCAAAGTGCTGGAATTACAGGCGTAAGCCAGTGTGCCTGGCCAATTTTCCAGACTTTCTTAAACCATATGCAAAAAACCTGCTCATCTACAGACAGCTTTGCCTGTCTTCAGAACAATTTAGGACCACCGTCATGAATCTGTTTATGCAAAAGCTCTCTCCAACTTACTCGCAAAACTAATGAAAGCACGTAGGTACAAGTGAAAATGAGATGAGTGGCTGGGCACGGAGGCTCACACCTATAATCCCAGTACTTTGGGAGGCCAAGGCGGGCAGATCATGAGGTGAGGAGTTCAATACCAGCCTGGCCAACATGGTGAAACCCCGACTCTACTAAAAAATACAAAAATTAGCCGGGCATGGTAGTGCATGTCTGCATCCCAGCTACTGGGGAGGCGGAGGCAGGAGAATCGCTTGAACTCGTGGAGGCTGCAGTGAGCTGAGATCACGCCACTGCACTCCAGGTTGGGCAACAGAGCAAGACTTGGGTAAAAAAAAAAAGAAAGAAAATGAGATGACTTTTTTCTTTACATACACACCAGAAATAAATATGTGGACACTGTCAAAATAAACTAGCATATACAATCAACCAAGTTACCCAACCACTAGTGTTCTCTCCACCTGTTCAACTTAATAGGTAAAAAGCTGCCATTTACTATATGCTGGGCCCTGTTCTGAGTCACGTGGATATACAACATTCTCATACAAAGTCATTCCAACTCTATTCCCCTTCTCCTGAACTCAGAGACTATATATTCTGAGCTAATTCAGTCAAACATTTAACAAACGAGTACTATTTGTAAAAGAGTATATTGCACACTAGAGGAAATTAGCAATGATTAAGATTTTCCTCTATCTCTCTCAAGGAGCTTATAATCCAGGAAAGCCCTCCATGGATATAAACTAAAAGGTCATAAGGAAAAAACAGATGAGTGGAGACATCAGGCTAGCACTGTGCGGGAGAAAAACAATGCAGTTAATTCTGAAAAGCAGGTTACAGAAGTAGAAGTAGCAGCATTTAAGACAAGTCTCCAAGATTCTGAAAGGGAGAAAAAGGCAGAAAGGATATTTCATAGTAGTCTGCCAATAATGGAAGTGGCCAGAGGTCTTGTGTTGAAATATAAGGTGACAAGAAGAGACGCAGGCTGGGCGAGGTGGCTCATGCCTGTAATCTCCGCACTTTGGGAGGCCAAGTTGGACAGACTGCTTAAGCCCAGGAGTTTGAGGCCAGTCTAGACAACATAGCAAAACTCCATCTCTACAAAAAATACAAACATTAGCCAGGCATGGTGGTACATGCCTGTAGTCCTAGCTACTTAGGAGGCCAAGGCAGGAGGAGGAAGGGAGGTGGAAGTTCCAGTGAGCTAAGATGACACCACTGCACTCCCGCCTGAATGACAGAGCAAGACCCTGCCTCAAAAAAACAGAAACAAAAACAAAAAAGAAGAGATACAGTAAAAGATCAAGCTAAAAGAAAGAAGTAGGCCAGATAGCAAAGATCTTAGAGTGATTTCCTAACTCTGTAACACTAACTCTCAACCAGGAGAGGAGGGTGGTAGCACTTCTAAGGTAAAAATCTTCAGAGGAGAAAGCCCATGATCTTACCAACAAAACTGTCATATCCCTCAGGTGTGATGGAACAGGGATATGACAGTTGAGAACCCCTGATGTATACTTGAGAGAGGGGGTATGATAGGATTTGATTTGCATATTAAATAATCCTGACAACAGGACAGAGAAGGACGAGAGACCAGAAAAGAGAGGCCAGTTGGAGGACTACAGCAACTATCTTCGTAAGGAGTAACAGCTTCAGAGAGGGGAGGGGCAGAGGAAACATGAAAGAAAAGAGGAAAAGACTGATGGAAAAGACTCATGGAGGTAAAAATCTGGTCAACAAAGGAAGTCTCTAAGGGTTTCCAGGCTAGGTAGTGAGCAGGACAAAAATGCTATAAAGCAAAACATCTTATTACCTTATATGTGGGCAGGGATGTGCAGTATACAAAGTATAGCCACTTTATATGTACTACAAAGCAAAAAGAGTCCAGGTAATTGTTCTCAGTTCACAAATACAGACTGACTTCCAAGAGAGATTTAACAAACTTGTCCATGGACAAGAAGCAAACCTGAATATTTCAAATCCAGTTCTATCATTCTTTTAAGAAGCCCCCTCAAAAACAATTGCTTTTGATGCATATAATAAATCTCCAAAAAAGAAAACCCTTAAAGAAAAAGCATGTAATCTCTTGGGAATTAAATCATACTTCAAATATAAGAAATATTTTTATACTTGTGCTCTGGTTCCCTCTACGCAAAAAACGGGTCAATGATTTAGTCAGCAATGCAGGTGCTGCATCTATTTCATTAGACCCTAAAAGTTTAGATACAGATCGGAAGGTGACAGTTTTTACTTTGTATAAAATACCACTTACTATGTGATTATGTGAAAGGCCAAAAATAACTGTAAAGAAATATTCTTAATAGTAACTATATTCAATATAGTAAAACTGCATTTCTAATGTTGTGGTTGGCACTGATGTTTATTAAAAATACTTCACCTGGGTCTTGTGTGGTGGCTCACACTTGTAAACCCAGCACTTTGGGAGGCTGAGGTGGGAGGATTGCTTGAGTCCAGGAGTTCAAGATTAGCCTGGGCAACACAGGGAGACCCCTGTTTCTACAAAACAAAACAAAACAAAGAAAACAAATTGTTTTAAGTAGCTGGGCGTGGGGGTGCATGCCTGTGGTCCCAGCTACTCAGGAGGCTGAGGTGGGAGGATCACTCGAGCCTGGGAGGTAGCTGTGATAGCACCACTGCACTCTAGCCTGGGTGACAGAGCAAGACCCTGCCTTTAAAAAAGAAAAAAAAAATCATTTGGAGACTTAAAGCCAGGGTCAGAAAAAAATAAACAAATATACTTTATAACATTAACATATTCCAGAAGGTGGATTACAGACTTTGACTTTATTTAACCAACATTTAAGCACTTTATGTTTAAACGCCTGAGCAAGGTGTTGGGACAAAATGATGACATAGACGCCACAGAGTTTACTATGAACAATTTATAATACAATATGATATAATGATGAGGGAAAAATAGAGAACTATGATTGCAGAAAGGAATATTCATTTTAAAAAGACTTCCAAAGTACTCCAAAGGGAACAGAATATTTGATATGAACTTTTAAGAACTGGAGGGAATGGGACTCAGACAGGACATACCAATCAGAGAAAAGAATATAAGCAAAAAAGGTCTGAAATAGCTTGGGATGTTCACAGAATCAAGAGCAGTCTTGTTTAGCTGGACAGTGTGGAAAGCGGACAAAGACGACAAGATAAAGTACAGAGATGACTGGGGACCAGACTGCAAGGGGCCTGAATTGTGATGCTGGTATCTCTGAATTCTAAGCTCCAAACCACAGGCAGTCTTAGAAGCTTGCTGAGCCAGAGGCTGGTAAGATCTGTGTTCAGGAAAGAGAACTCTGGCAGCCAGGCAAAGTATGGAGAAAAAGGGGTGGGGAAGAGCCTGAAGACAAAGCTAAAACCTTTAAGCCAAGCAAGCAATCTGAGGTTTTAACAATTACACTAGTCCAGTATTTTAAAAGGGTTTCAGTGTTGATGAAATTATTGCACGTCTTCCCTCTCGTGATCATCCCAAACACTGTGAAGCAGGTGTCATCATTCTTCCCATTTTACAGATGAGGAAACTAGCTAACAAGCCATTAACTGTCAAGTCAAATGCTATGAAAACAAGGACAAAGCCCAGGCTCAGTAATTATCCACACAATGAAAAATAAAGAACAATTAATTTCTTTTGAAGATTGCTACCATACAATAAAGCACAGAGTGAGCCAGCTACATTACCCTGTATTACCACTGGCGGTGTTAAAAATTCATCTATTTTCTTAAATGTTTGCAACTTGTGTAACAAGCTAATTATCTTTAAAATAGTTGAATTTGACTTACGTTAACGTCATGTCAAAGACCTATACTTTTTCTCCACAGCAAACAAAAAAGCACCTGCACTTTGAATTCTACTTCCTATGGAGCTAAGTAAGAATATTCTCCCCTCCCTTCAATGTTTAAAACTGGCATTTCACTCATGTAACGGGCTTACATAAAAACCATTATACCCAAAATGGAAGCAGTAAACTACTTTTTGAATTATTAAAAATTCATTATTTAGCAAGTACAATTGGATCTGAGTTATAAGATGTATTAATTGAAAGGAGCTTCTACAGGTATGCAAAGGCACAATCTCAGAAATAGGTTCTGTCATAAGGAAACGACAGAGAGACTCTGAGACCTATTTCAGAATGGTTCAATCCAAAATAACTGATGGAAGAATACATGACCTTGAAAATGCAGAATGATAGATTCCACTCCCCCGTCCCCTCCCCCTTTAAATTCGAAGTCCACGATATGGTCAAAGTGTTCTGGAATGGGTCTTATTTTGCACAGGAAGGATCTATCTTGGGGATTCCCGTTCAGTCTTACCCACAGCATCGTCTATTATCAAAACTGCTCGTCCCTACCCCCTCACAAGCTTTCTAACATTGTTTTAAAAACAAGACCCAGAAATGTAAAACCCCTTCTTAGGAACTTGGGCAATAAGTCAAAGTATCCAACTCAGGTAGTTATCAGCAAGAACTACATTTATATAAATTTTTCCAAGAATCGCATGCCTCCTCTCCAGTGAATCTTCCTATGTTTTTAACTAGATTAAGTCTTTATAACTTGTCTATAGAGGACAAAAACAGAAAGGTGGCAAAAAAGAAATCAAAACAGTTCTGCATGATTTAGGGGTCTGTACCAAGAGCTCGGCAGGTCCTGCAATCTGCGCACAAGATGCAAACTGAATTCTAGGGCAACACGAAGCATTTCTAACAAGACACACACTGGTTTCTCCAGCGGGAAGAAGCAGGGAGCTTTAGAAATGCCTGCTGGAGACGCGTATTCTTGGAAAGGAGCAGGAAGAGGCTCCGCAGCATCTCGGGGCGCCCTTTGCGCCGGGGTCTGCCCGGCGGCGCGAGGGTGACTGTGGGCCTGTCACTCCTAGCTCCAGCTGTAACCTTCGCCAAACCTTGCGCCACACCGGCCCCGCCCTCCAGGCCCGCCCCTCGCGCCGCGCGCCGCGCCATAGGCCGGCGCGCCCGTCACTCAGCCGGCCTCCCGGCCCCGCCCGCCTGCGGCCCTCCTCCCCCGCCCCGCGGTTTTCCCTTCCCCGGGCCCCAAAAGGACAATGCTGGAGGGGAGGAGAACGGAGGGGACGCGAGAGAGCGGCCCAGCCTGCCGGCCTGACCCCGCTGCCGGGGACGTCGGGCGCCTCCCGCCGGTCGAAGCCTTCCTCCCGCACCCGCTTTCGGGGCTCCGCGCCACAGCCTCACGTCTAAGCACCCCCGCCTCACCTCCCCCGAAAGAGCCTCCCCGGCGCGGCGACACCTGCCCCAAGCAGGAGGCTGCTGACGGCAACCCATTGTGCGGACTCATCGTCCGCTGCCCACCCGGGCGCACGAGCGGCAAGCCGGGGTGCCGGCGACCTGGGGTCTGGGCGGGGGTCCCAGGGCCCACAGCTCACCAGCACGCCAGGGCACCACCAGGGTCTGGGGCGGCCCGGGCTTCCTCGTCTGGCCCCGGAGTCCCCGGCGACGGTCCGGTCTCCCTCGGTCTGGCCCCGGAGCCTCTGGTGGCAGCCCGGCCTCCCTCGGTCTGGCCCCGAAGCCATCGGCGTCGGCCCGGCCACCCTCTGTCTAGACCCAGAGCCCCCGGCGGCGGCACGGCCTCCCTCGGTCTGGCCCCGGAGCCCCCAGCGGCGGCCCGGCCTCCCTGAGGCTGGCCCCGGAGCCCCACGGCGGCCAGCGGCCGGCCTGCCCAGGCCCGCGCCCACCCGGCAGAGGGGCCACTCCGCGCCCTCCCTCCCCGCCGCCTGCCCGCGGTACCTGCCGAGGCTGCCGGGCGGCGCGGCGGCCGGCGGGGGCGCCTCTCCTCTGGCTCCGAGGGGCTGCGGGCGGCTGCGGAGCGCCGGGCGGCCCTGGCCTGCGCCTTACGTAAAGCGGCGGCAGCGGCCCCAGCGCCACTCGGCGGAGGGCGGGAGGCGGCGCGCCGGGAGCCGCTCCGCTCCGTTACCCGGCAACTGGCCTCAGAGCCCCGCCAACCAGGGGCGCGCTCCATATCCTTCCGCCCGGGTGCCGGGATTACATCAGCGCCGGCCGGGCCCCGCCCCTGCCCCTCCCTCCGGCTGGGCCGCGGGCGCGCGCGGGAGATGGGCCACAGGCTGACGGCGCCGGGGCCAGGCCGGTGCTGGGGCCGGCGGGGCAGGGGGTCTAGGGCCCGGGGCGCGCAGTGCAGCCAGGCGGGGGCGGCGGAAGGCGCTGTGAGGTGAGAGGGCGGGCAGGAAGCGGGAGCCCACCCGTGTGCTGGGCATCGGAGAAGAGATGCCTCCCGCGGAGGGGCACGTGGGACTGCCCTCGGCAGAAGCCCCCGACCTCCGCCGCCGCGCCCGGCCCCCGGCCCGCGCTGGGGAAGCGGGGCTGGGGAAGTGGGGCTCGGCGTGCACGGCCCCGCCCGCGGCGCGGTGCAGCCCCCGCCTTCCCGGGCACGCGCGCCACCTGTCCGCGCCCCCTCCTCGCCGCGTCCTGGGATGGCTGGAGTAGGCGGTTTAAAATAAAGACTTTAATGTTTTGTTGTTGTTGTTAAGGAACCCAGAAGACAAGCTAAAGAAATGTGACATGGCTCTTTTTTTAATTAAGTAGGCAAAAATAAATTCTGGAAGATTCGAAAGTGGAAACCAAAAATGTGCTTAACCTTTTAATCAAAGTCTCTTCACACCCACCCACCTTCCCTAAATGTGACTCCTAGGCCTGTTCTAAAAAAGCAAATAAGTTTCATGGATCTGGAAAAAGAAGGGAGATTACTTAGAGGAAACAGGTCCGGTAGGAGGAGTGACTTACCTGGGGTCATTTGTGCATTTATAGAGCACCCATTAGGTGCCAGGCACTATACTTTTCTGTTCAGAACCTGTAGGAGAATTTCCTGCACCAGCTCACAGGCTTGTGGGAGAAGCAGACGCTGAAACTGGAAAGAGGTCATCTGGTGAGTTGGCTGGTTGCTCCATGCAGGAGGGGCTGGAAGGACAGAGTGAAGAAGTGTCACTTACATGCTATCTGCAGAGTGTTTTTCTGCAAACATGTCTTTTGTTCTTTACAAGAAGCGTGGGTCAAAGCTTTGCCAGCCCCATTTAACTGGTGAGGAAGCTGAGGCTCAGAGAAAGTGTTTTCACCCAAGTCTGGCTGGTACAGAGTGGGCAGTGCCTTCTGACCCGGCTACACCACCCCTTGCAGGAGACACGAAGTGAACCCAGGCTCGTTTCCTTTACACTGCTGTCTCCCTTCACCAGTTTGCTCCTGATTTTATTTTCAGCATTCTCTCAGGTGAGTGTATCTCGCCATAAATCACAATGCTTTGGTTCGGTCAGTATCTTCTCAGTGCTTGTTGTGGGCCTGGCTCAGTGCCAGGAACGGACACTCCCTGTGCTCTTGGAATTCAAACTCTGAAAACAGGGAAGAGAATGGAAAGGGTATGGGAAACCTAGAGCCATCTAGGAGTGAAGGAGGGGAAGTATTAGTTCACAGGTGCCCCCAGCGTCCGGGATTTCACAGACCAAAGTATTCGGGATTTGCAAAGCACGGTCAGCTTTTGATTTCTGCTACATCTGTGACATATCTGTCATCTACATCATATTTCACAAAAGACTATTAACAGTAAAATTATTTTGAAAAGCAGTAACAGTATATCTCAGTCTTGGAAGAAAGGAAACACAGTTGGCACCTGCATAGTGTCTGATACACACACGCGCACACACACACACACAGCATTTATTGACCATTTTTATCATTATTATTTTACCACAGACCAGTTTTTATACTAGTTCTACCATGAACTAGTAGAACCCGAAGGCTTCTCAGAAGAAGAGGTGTTTAAATTAAGTGGGATTTATCTAGGATTAATAGCATTTGGAGCTGGTGGGGAAAGAGGACAAATTAGGGAAAGAAAGGGTCTTGTTTACTTTGTTTACTTAACAAAATAGCCCCCGGCCTCCAAATTCTTTTGATAAAAGTCCTAGAAGTCTCAGCTGACTCAGCCTTGGGGCCTTTGCATCTGCTGATTTCTTTGGGGAACTCCCTCCCCAGACCTCCACGGGGCTGGTGCCCTCTTGTTAAAGGCCCAGCTGCAATGTCACCTGCCCAGAGACATCTTCTGGATGCCAGTGTGGAGCAGCCAACCTTCCCAGTCGTGTTACCGCTGCTCTGTTTTGTTTCTTTATTCACAGCTCTGATCGGTAGCTGAGATTATCTTGTTTGTATGTTTGTGTCCTCATTCATCTCAGCCTCCTCACCGAAGACCTGTGTCTCACAAGAGTAGGCATCTTGCCCGTGGTGTTTGTTTTCGTATGCCCAGAGCCCAGCACGAGGCCTGCCAGGTTGTAGGGAAGGACTGAACGATCCCATATGATGTAGTCAGAGTGGACATCAGGAAGACAACCATCCCACCTTCCTTTAACAATCAGGAACAGGGCTCTTCTGCATGAGCCCCTCACCCCCTGCAGTGTGCCATGCTCCCCACGACCTTCCTTAAAGCTCTCAGGTAGAGATCAGCCAACTTAAACTCAGGACAACAGTAGGTTTCTCCCTCTTGTGGGCTAAGATCCCTAGGGAATACAAATGAGGCCGGAGGACTCCTGTGTTAAGGTGGAGTTTGTGTGGAGGCAGTGGACTCCCCCTTCAGCATTTTCTAAGAAGAACCCATTGTGGTCTCCTGTGTAAGTCTGAGATCATTCATTTTATTTCTCCAGTCTCAGGAGCACCTGCCATGGCTTTTTAACCCCTACAGCCGGGTGAGGCAATGCCGGAGGAAGCTGACGACTCTGAGTGCCCTCTGACTTGGATGTTTGATGCCAGCAAGGATTCTGGTGGCTGCCATGTGGGGCAGTGATTGTGTAAAGTGCATGCTTAGTGAACAGCAGGAATGAGGCTGGGTCCGGGACGCTTTGTGATGTCATGCAGTACTCGGACTGACGGCAGGCAAGGACCAGGCCCCTTTGACTCTGTGATCTTGGGTGTATGATCTCTGTCTCTGGGCCTCAGTTTCACCATCTGCACAAGGTACTTGGGTAGGAAGATTTCAAAATCTCCTCTGTTCTGTGCGTGTGTGTGTGCGTGCGTGCATGTGTGTTTGAGAGAGATTTAGAAACAAAGTTTCAATGAAGCTACACTTTGATAAAAGAGGTACAAACCCTCGCTTGTCACCTGACGTGAACAGTGCCGCCCCTGTTTACTGACCCCCAGGTGCATGCCAAGTGCTTTACTCACATTGTCCTTGACTCCCACAATACCAGGCAGGGGAGAGACGATCCCCACTTTGCAGTCAGAGAAGCCACATCTTCTCTGGAGACATTAGATGGCTTGCCCAGGCCACCTGCTACTAAGAGGCAGTGCCAGGATTTCATTCCACCCCTGTGCTTGCTACTGGGCCACACAGTATCGTTAATATCCATCATGAGATGACTTTTAAATGAGTGAGGCCAAGATAAAACCATGACCAGATAAGCTCCCATTGCCTCCCCATAGGACCAAGACCCTCACTTGGGATGCTAACTGGGCATCACAGCTCAGATGCTGTCAGTCAAGGTGGCCCATGTAATGGCCTTCTCTCTGAATCACCCCAGGCCGGCACCTGCATCTGGACGGTCTCTCCTCTCAGTGACTCTCCACAGGGGGAGTAAACACCATTCCAGGCCTAAAGAGTTGAGTTCAAGTCTCTGACACAGCCTCATGGTGTGACCTCGAGCAATTCCCTGACCTTCCGAGGGCTTCGGCTTCCTAGTGCATTAAAGGACAGAGATTACTGCTTGCCCGTCCATTGCAGGGCAGACCAGGTCACAGGTGTGGTTGTCTCCTGCAGACTCCACGATGCCATTCAATGTCAAGCCTTGTCGTTGTTGTTCCAAACTTGTTCCTCACTTCTATCCCTCCACCCAAGCCATGGGTGAAGTCAACAGTGTCATCAGCAACCTTCCATCCCAGAAGTAGGGTAGCACGGTGATGAAGCACACTGGCTGGGCCACTGGGTGGAACCCAGGATCTACCACGCTGTAGCTCACTGACGTGGGTAAATTCCTTAGCCTCTCAGTTTCCTCGTCTGTAAAGTGGGCATAGTAATCACAGTGCCTGCCTCACGCTGAGGGTACCCGGCCCATAGTTAACACTCAGTAAACACCAGCACCTGTGGCCATCCCGCCTTGAAGCCCCCAGTGACCTCTGACTGCGTCATCTCCAGACCCCCTCTTCCCCTGTCCTTCCCATTTCTGCCATTCTTATCCCTCCTTTTATGAGCAGGCCTAGTAACTGCCCTGCATATTACTAGGGCAGTTTCTCCCACTCCAGCAGCCATTAAGTAGCATGAAAATGGAAGGACACCTAATCTTTCTCCCCAACCCATTCTCCAAGGCCCAGAACTGCCTCCTGGGCTTGTCCGCCTTGCTGGTGGGACCTGCCCCAGCCCCCCGCATGTTCATGGCTGACTCACTGCCTTCCCGCACAGGTGCCCTTTCCCTCATCGCTCTGTCTCACAACACCACCCTCTCCCTGGCTGCCTGAGCTAGAGTCCTCGTGCACTGACCTGGTGAATTTGTTTCAGAAACGGCCTTGCAGTCAGACTGTGAGCTCAGACAGACCGAGGTGTGAGTCCAGCAGAGCCACGTGACACGGTGAAACCTTGAGCAAGTTACTTCCTCTCTCCGAGCTGGCTCAAGTGTCTCTAAAACGGACACAACGGGAGCGCCCTCCAGCAATGAACGCTCATTTGTTGATCCATCTGCCAGTAGATGAAGCCACTTCCTATGTTTGGTAAATCCCCGTCCCTTGTGGGATTCACCCAAGCAAAGAAGGCTTCCCTCCACTGAACCTGAAGGCCAGACCCGGACCAGACCTCCCTTCCCGGCCTCTGACTTACTGTCATCATTATAACCACACAACCCGTTCACGAGGCTTCCTCTGCATTGCCCAGAAGGACCCTGCATCTGGACAATTAGCATGTGAAGGAGTTGGGAATGATGATTTATTTGTAGGTGTGAGCC